CTTTTCAATGATTACTCCAACAAAAAAAAAAAAAAAAAGAAACCCAAACACATTCGCCATTTACCTAAAATAAAAGAACCACCAGATCAATTTTAAAACAAAAATATAATTTAAAACAGACCCTTACAACTTGTCACTACCGATTAAATAAATTTCTTAAAGTTTTTCATAAGCCACACAATTCAAAATTTGTCAGGAGAAGAAACTCCATTTTTAGCGCATTCTCCCCAATATTCAAAACTTCCTCGTGTTTGTGATCTTCATTCGCCAGAAAGTCTACACATTGGTTCGCCCCCCTCCAAAATATGTTTGATAATTATCTTGTTGGCTTCCAGCAAATATTTACATTCTTTAATTATAGCCCTAAGAGGATAACACTGTATTTCCTCTTTGATAAGCTAAGCTTGACAACAAGTAAACAGTTGATTTCAACTTTCTTTATATCTCGTACCTTTTGCTAATTTTAGTTCTCATTTGATGCTGAGGTAGACTTCATCTTACTTGAGTATTCTAGCATTCACTTTTCTTGGTCATCTCTATAAATCCCTCCAAAAGCAGCACCTCCCTTTTTTTTTGTTGGTAGATTTGATAGTTGAGATTACCAATAGCATTGCTTATTCAAGATATTCTTGTAAATGCTAGAATGTAATCTTTGACGCGTGTTAAAACTAAAACAATACAATCAGTCCCTAGCTTGCAATCAAGAAATTAAAGACGTTATTGTTGAAAGGAGACAAGTAAGATGTCTGGTTATTTTATGATATGATATGACTAGTATTTCGCGAGAGAAAATGAGTCCATAGTAACTAACGAGTCAAAGTGTAAGATGCCATCTTAAAAGCAGGCAAGAAACAGAATCACAAAATGTAAGCTCGTTAGGTCTGACCTACAAATTGCTCAATAGGTTTTTACCTTCAAGTAGACCAATATATTACGTCGAATTAAAAATTTATTAACCAACTAAATTCCAACACAACTCCAGTTTTCTCATTTTCAACTTTTTAAGATATTTTTCCCTCCAATTTTGGTTCTTGTTTGATCAAATATAAGCAAATGATAATTTTGATGATACCATTAGGTCAATAGTAGCTAGGTACTTTAATTAACTCTTAAATTGGTGCAGTGAAAAAGAGAGTTAAGAGAATGAATTCATATGTAAGATGCCCAGTTGGATCACTAATTCGTAGATGGACAACTTCTAGAAAGGATCTCCCACAGAAAAAATCTAAGCCTCCAACTTATTCTCTACAAAAAAGAATATTATTATGTTGAAGGAAAATGTTCATTTTGGTGAAGCTTTGGATTCAATAACTTGTTCCGAGTTTGTTCGAGTCATACAATGTTGTCGGGCTGTTGTATCCTGGAGGGGACAAGTCAAGAGTATTACTGCTGGACCAGTGAAGATGCTACCATAGTAGGCTTGAATCTCCTTAAAGAGAGCGAGATATCCGCGCCTCAACCTGAAGAATATTTATTTATTTTTCTTCATCTTATTTTTCAACTGTAACTAATTGTATTTTCACCAACAATTTTTAAGAAGATTCAATTTTTTGTGCAGATTGACAAAATAATGAATATTAAGGCAGAAGTTCACTCTCTTTATGATGGAAAGGTAAAAAAAATTCTATTTGCTTAACTCAAGTGGAGGAAAGGTAAAAAAAAAATTACCATATATTTTCTTGACTATATGATTATATTATTTGTGATTATGAATTTTTATAACTCTAGAAAAAGTGGGGGTAAAAGAAATAAAAAAGTTTTGCATGAGAATGTTGAACATTCATGCATGAGTTAAAGTTGATTAAATTAAAAGAGTGTGATAAGTGCATCTATCATAAGTCTTGGAATAATTCACATGTTATTGTTTGCCTTTATATTGATAATTTGTTAATATTTGGCTCTAACATAAATATAATTGGAGAAACTAAAAGCATGTTTAGCAGCCATTTTGACATGAAAAATTTGAGAGGTAAATTTCATTCTTGGAATGAAAATTACTAGATTATATAATGAAATTTTCCTTGATCAGTCACATATATTATGTTGAGAAAATTCTGAAAAATTATAATTTTAGTGACTGCAAGCATGTTGTAACTCCTTTTGATTCAAATGTTCACTTATTTCCAGTACAAAGTGACAATGATGTTAAAGATTAAAAGGAATATGCTAGCTTAATTGGAAGCTTGGGATATCTAACTGATTGCACTTGGCCTGATATTGCATACGCAATAGAAGTACTTAGCATATTTATATGCAAGCTAGATAATGAACATGGGTATGTCATAATAGTTGAAACAGATATTCATTGTATCTAGAACAACACAATTGAGATAAAATATGCAAGAAACAACAACAAATTACAATTGAAACAAATAATCATTATATTTGATTGTGATAATTAATATTTGAAAAAAAAAACCCCACTTGAAAGCTGATTTCTTGATTTTTCTTCCCTCCCACGCCCATAAAAGAGAGTGTATTCACGCTCTTTGCCAAATCATCGTCTAGGGGGTCGAGGCTATCAAATTTTTAAGCTTGGGGGGGGGGGGGGGGGGGTATTAGAGACCACGTAAAGTTTAAGGAGGAACTAAACAAAAGTTGCCGAGGTCCCGAATATTATATTTCTGCCTTTCTATAAAATTAAATGTAACACAATATACAATATATATATATATATATATAAGTTAAATCTTTGTTTCTCAAACGCCTAAAAATTATTTTAAGGTTTCTACCCCAGAATATCTGGGTTTTTCCTTTTTTCCGGAGAAGCAAAAGGTACAAATTTCTTAAGATAGATGAAGGTATTTAATTAGAATTTTTACTAAAGTTTTATAATTCAAAGGTAAAGAAGAAATTTGTACATGAGTGGTTGGTAATTGGATGAAGAGGTCTTGTCGATACATGACTTCCTAATACATTTATGATTTATTTACCACATGGGACCAGTAAATGATACGCACTAGGTCACGTCAAAGGTCACCCGTTACGAAAAAGGTAGGCAAGGATTTTAAGTGGACCTTATGATTTGAGTTAATGGGTCAGATTAGTGAATAATGGATACGAAATAATTATACAAATAGCAATAGGAGTAATCTGAATTCTGAAAAATCGAAAGTCATAACAACAACAAATTCGCTAATCAGAGACAACATGAGTGTAAATTTGTGATATGCCTTACCAGTGCCGGCTCTTGGGCAAGGCTAAGTTACAAGCGCTTTAAGCCTCAAAATTTTTGGGGTCCCATTTTTTATTGGTAGTAGGTTAAGGAATTAATTCTTTTAAAAAATAATAAATATTTTAAAGTAAAAAGTACAAGTCTTTTAAAGAAAGGAGAAGAAATTGAGATTACTAAGTGATGAGAATATAAAGAAACATCGC